GTTCAAAATTTAAAAGAAACACTTTTTTGAATGTGCATTAAAGAGTTTTTTTTTTGTTTTTTTTAGAAAACTAGTTTGTTTCTTTAAAAAAAATACTTTGAGCGAGTTTCATTTTTGGCGTTGTTACGGTATGTACTTCATTAGTATGAAAAATATTATAATATTAAATATTCAAATATCCAGAGCTTAACGGGCGCAGCACGGCATTAGTTTGAGCGTGTAATTTTAGGAAATAAAAGAAGAATTGGCGGCACCAGAAAACTTTTTCTGGTGCAGCCAATTCCTCTTTTTTTTTTATGTTTTTACCTATCACAACATTGTTTCGTTTTTTCGAAGCTACTCTGAATTAAGGACGCTACCACATAATTAGAGGTCAAAAGTAGAGCGGCTTTAGGAGCTCGACTTAGCCGCTATAGACTTTGGATGAAAGGCGCGGCAAGATGACGCCAGCAGCTAGATTTACTACTGGAACTCGGTCACAGGAGAGACATCCTAAACCCCCACCCCCGTCACAATTCCGTACTGGTAGTGATATTCACCCATGGACGAAAGGTTTAGATGACAACGGACACGTTTACTATCACAACACGGTAACGATGGAGGCGCGATGGATACCACCACCTGTTGCTGTCCCGACCGAAGAAGGTGTACCTGACCCTAATGTACATGCAGTCACGGAAGGGCGAGGAAGAAGACCATCATGTGAGCGAGTTAAATCGATTTTTTAGTAGAGAAGGTGAGGACAGTGGCGAAGAGAAGTCGCTCGGTGAAAAAAGATCGCGTATCACGACGAAACAAGCGAGGCTTTAACGCCTGAACTTGACTCGGAAAATGCGTTAAATTCTGAAGACTGTCCGTGGATGATATTTATCAATGAGGATGACGGAGTGCCTTACGAATACAACCACATCACTGGTGAGTGTCTGTGGGAACCTCCACAGGAATTTTGCCGTTTCGACAAGGATAAACCGCAACAGGAGCATCAACAACTCGACGAATTAAATGTAGAGACAGCAAAGCTGGAGCTTCCTGTAATCGGAGATACCGCTGAGCCACAAGGCGGATCTGCTAACTCAACGCCGAATAGTGGGATGCCCGATAAAACCGCTCTACAAGTAATAATCAATCTAGAGTTTAGAAGAGAAAGTGCGACAAGTAATTGCGGCAGTCTCCAATACACCGGTGGGCCCAAGTAGACTTGTACACTCGAAAGAGAAATACCGTGAGTGTGGTGTTTGTCAGGAAATGAAGACACGGAGAAGGAGCCGGCGGTGCTCCTTGGTAGTTAGCCGTTATTGTATTGCTGAGTAAATAGCGAAGTGAGATCCTACAGCAAAGTACTACACGCAGCTAGCCTACATGGTTCAGGTAGTCTTTAGCTGCATTGATTAGACACGAAGGCTGTAATCACTTGTCGCGTTACAGGGTATCCTGTCATGCTGGATGTCGAACGCTGCATACAGCGGTGTCGATACGCGGAAGATCATATGATCTGTAGTCTTCAATTAGTAGCTGGACCTGGCTGGATCTTACTATTCATGCGTAGCATGCACTACAGTGAGCGTCGCTGGAATGAACACCACGGTGAAGTTAGTGGGCCTTACACACTTACCGAACACGTCGACGATGGACGATTTGCTGTTACCATTCAAGCTAGTACAACAGACGAATCGGGGTTACTGATAGTACTGTGGTTACAAGGGCAGTTTTGAATGAAGCAACAAGCGACGTTGACCAAGAAACAGTTGCTGAAAACCAGAGGATGACTTAGAGTCTGCTGAAGAGTAGTTGAACCAGGACGGTAGCTATTAACTAGACGAAGCGAGCAATGCACACCAAGATTCATTAGAAGCTACGAGGGGCGTGAATGTGGAGGTTAATGTTGTTGTACAGTGTAGAAATCGAAGCAGCGACAGTAATGGCAGAGGAGCGTTCTGATATACCAGCTCACAAAGCAATTATATCGGTGATACTCCACTGCGTGGCACGCAGTTTCGTTGCGTGGCAGCGAGTGGAACACAAATGTGATGTTACTGCAAATACTTCAGTAAGTTAAAAAGTCAACACTACTACTGCTGAACCCCCTGTTGTGACTCAAGCAGTCGAAAAGGAGAAATGTAAGTTTTGTACCCAATACTCCAGGGTAATAATTCTCCGAGCTCATCTTCTGAAGACGTGTGCATCAACAAAGACTCGTTAATCACGACTTCAGCCAATGTTGACCAGCAGATTTCTGCTGTAAGCTCACAGAGAGGTACCTCATCACGATTTGAAACCTTACTCAGTGATCCATCTGCTTCCTGTCAGCGTCGTCTTCCAGCCTTGAAGTTCCAGCATTTCCACTAAAAAGCAGCATGCTACAATATCGGCACGCCTGCCGCCAGTACTGGATGTTACAATGTACTTTCCACAACGACGCGGCTTAATATCTTCCACGTAGCTCACTCTGGAAGTCCTACAAGTCAAGTATCCATTACCAGGAAGAATGTCGATCTTACGTCACCGTCTCGTGTTCACCGTAACCCCCC